ACAACACTTCACACTTTTCTTTCATTAATGATACTGAAATGCTCTTTTATGCGAGAGACTACCCATATCATAGCTCTATATATATTGACCATATGTATCTTTTATTTTTCTAAGGATTGATCTCATATAGTGCGTGAAACTCAGTTCGTTGAAGTATGTTCAACTCATTCAATTCGATAAGCCCCATTAACTACGTGAAGGTTAGTAAAAATAGTGAAAAAAAGAATCCCAGAGTAGGAGCTAGCTTGAGAAGACAAGATTGATTAATGATATTTATATCAATATATATATATATATATATATATATATATATATATATCAGCTCTGATTCTGAAAAATGCATATCACAACTTAAAATCCGTGCACGAACTTCTAATCCCGTATAGTGTGTTGCAGAATTGTGTCGTAGCATTTTCTGTATCAAACTTGAAAACTATAAGAACTCTATTAGTCTAAATAAAATAAACACCTACTAACAAATAGAGAGTCTACCTAATAAAATTCCTACCAAATATAGGTTTGTATTTTACGAAAGAAAAATGCTACGGATACACCTTTGGTGTATTCTTAGCATTGCTCTTTACGAAAAGATTAGCCAACGCATTGAAACTAACACGTATAGCGTTGCTTGCACACTGAGTTCATCAATTCATGATTAGAGTGCGATTGGTGAAAAGGTTACAAAGGTTTCATGTCATGATCGTCTTTCATCATTCTTGTCAAGAGTTAAACGCTCTTATCATCATTCCATTTGCATGTATTATTTGCAATATATGCCCCGGGGGCAATAGCTTGTTCAAGCGATATAAGTGGGTAAGGCGTATATGGACACTTCTTTCTTTCGTTTTTGGATGTGAAGTGTAATGTATGTAAAAGAGATTGATAGCTTCTTTGCAGCTGGAAGCCATTTTGTTCATTATGGACCACCAACTCTTTTCACCTTTTTTTTTGGATTTGTGCGTTACTATATGGAAAACATATTAATGAATAATAACAGGGCCTAACCAAATTTACTGATGTTATCTTCTACCGATCGAGATCAGATCATATATATAAGGGATTAATATTAAGTGGGTTTTATCTCTAGTACGTAAAAAAAACACCACACAAACCATGACCTTTCTTTTTTTTTTATCATTCTTAGGATTTGAAATCGGGATTTACCCCTTTGCACTTCTTTCTTACCAGCTCTTCCAAAATCTTATTTTTTTAAAAAAATGATTTTATTAGCAGAAACAGAAAGGACTTTTAGGGACACAAATTTTTTGAAACGTGAAAAACTTTATGAGATGAAGGGAGCATATTTCTCTCAAAAGAAGAGACTATATTATTAAGCTCGAGCCGAGTCTAAGTTATTTCAATTCAAACTAGGCTCGAAGGCATATCATGCAACATCAAGTTGGGATGCATGATCTGGAAGGCAAATTTTATGGTGAACTTAAAGTTCACCATAAACCCACACATGAATAAAATAAGTAAATTATTAGTACTTAGATGATGAGCATTTTTAAAAATAAAAAAAATTAAAAAAGTTATGTGGGAGTATCCACAAAAATGATATGCACCTAAGGTTCACCAAAGAAGCACTCATTATGGACATACAAGAAAAAAATGATAAGGCTCATCTACACGTCCGCGCTACCTCAGACCCGGGACAAACGTTTACCGAGATATAATAAATTAAATTTTAATCACAAATTAGTCTAAAACGTGATATAACGGGTATAAAGTGATGAGTGACTTGTTTGGGAATAATATTAGAGATTAATGTTAGAGTAATATTTTGGATAAAATTTTTAATGATACAAATTATTTTTAAAATGCTAACGCTAAACGCTTTTTGGGTCTGTTTGGGAATAGCGTTAGCGATTAGCGTCAGCGTTTTGGATAAAATTTTAACGGTGCAGATTAATTTGAAAATGCTAACGCTAAACGCTGCCCGTAGATAGCCTTTTGTTTTTTCAAACGCTAACGTTATTGTGTGAGGATGGCAAATGTAAGTGAGATGGAAGGGATGGGGGAGTAGCCCTACAAGAATAGAAGCAGAGTGGATGGATAAGATCGCCACGGCGAAGGGTGATTTGACAGTATGCAAGCCCTCCTCCGATCCCCCCGCGCGCGGCCGGGGACACCACATTTTGCCACTTCCCATTATTACCTTCTTTTGGACACACCTTACCTTATTTTGCCCCCACATTTACTCCACTATAATTACGGACGACTACCATTTTGAACTGTTTGGATTTGGAACTATGAATATTTTGCCCCATTATTTGACCTCTTCAAAAATTGTGTAGATTTTCCCAGTGCTTTAAAGAATTATATTAATGGTTCTTAAACTTTAAAAAACGTTGTGTCTAGTTTTTCTATTCCAAATTTGAAAGTGTGTTAATCAAACACTCGCCTGTACAATTATGGATTCATCTAAATTTATACTTCCTCCATCTCTGAAAAGACGGGAGATTTTTTTATTTATAAGGGATTTAGCAATTCAACTTGCTTTGGCATATAGTATATATTGTCTCTTCATTCATTTCGTCCGTTGTCAATGCAAAACTAAAGGGAAGAGGAGGAATATTATTATCTTTACTATAGTGGAAAAACAAAAAAAAGAAAAAGAAAAATGAACGGCAGATGGAGAGAACCATTTGCATGCATATGCGCGCGGTGACACGGAGCCGTTGTTTGCCCAATACTTTGGAATCTAACAAACCAAACCAAACCAAACCCCCTTTTTTTAAGTTTGATGAGTACGTAAATATATACTCTATTCTAATTCTATTCCCTTTTTTATTTTATGAATGAATTACACACCTGGACGCCACTAGAATGATTATAAGACATTTGAACTCAATCAAATTAAAAGATATAAATTTATTTAGCGCTCAACTCAAGTTTTAATTCAATAATGTTCTCTATTTTTAATTCTCGATGGATTAATATATATGTAATCTAACATGACGCTAAGTAACACAAATGAATGGCGACACGGTCGTGATCCACACCGCATACACTCTTATAAGTAAAGATTGATGGGTTATCATTAGAGCATTCGATCTTGTGTTGAACGAATTTCTTTGGTGATGACAATTTACCCATAAAGTAAAAGTTATTCTTACATTGTACGTACTCTCTCCTTTTTTATTCATTTTAAAATAGTTATCACATTTTTTTACTTTTTTAATAAAGTAAAAATATGCATATGGTTCACAATCTTCCATTTTCCAATAATCAAATTTTAATTATTTTTAAAAAATTTGTAAAATCAAATTAAGCCGATTAATTCGAGACATGAGGAGTAAATTGGCATGTAATGTCATTGTGACTTGTCAAAGTGGTAAGCAATTCCACATATATGCGTTTTCTTTTCTCCCCGGTGCTTTTGTAAAGTTGCTTAAAGGTGAAAAATCATGTTAACATCACTTGATGGGGTCTTCTTACGTATTATTGTCTCAAATTCCTTTAGATAGGCCCAATTGGATTATTCAGTTTGATTTAAATTATTTTTATTTTAATTTAATTGAAAACTGATACAAATTTTAATATTATAAAAATATACAGAGTATAATAAAATAATTTTTAGAAAGTACAAAGAAATACATCACTTTGTAGAGCAAACACAAATACAAGTGTTTCTGTGCCCATACAAGCATAAAAATTGGTGTTTATTTTTTGAGTGCAAAAGTGATGTGCTCTTATCATGACTGTCCAAATAAACACAAGAATCTGGTGGGCATTGCACGATTTGCAAGAGGAGTTCAAGGGAAAATTGTTTGAGTTAATTCTTATAAACTCCACAGGAAAACAATTATGTTAAACACAAAATTTTTGACTTTTTGTAAATATATATACTAGATTTATGTTCCATCTTTTATTATTAATATGTGATTAAAATTCAATTTATCTCTTCTTAATTACGTGATTGTCTATCCTGTTTTATGGAGACTTTATGAATGAGGTTCATCGTTTCAAATAAACACACATGAAGAAAAGTTTGTGAGATTTGTATTTTTTTCAAATATCTTTCTTTAATTCTCTCCAATTTCATCTCATCCAAACACGAAAAAAATGATTGAATTTGTGATATAGGGTTACCATATAGATACTTCCTTCCCTAAAAAAAATACCTCCTTCGTCCTAAGAATAGACTCACAGTTACTATTCACATGTCATATTAATTCTATTTTATTCATATTTTTTATCGATTATTTAATAAAATAAAATAATTTTTTCACCACTTGTTTCGTATGCAAAACTTTTTATATACTCCCTCCGTCCCCCTAAGATGTTCTCATTTTGACTTTTGGTGGTTTTTAAGGAGTGTTGAAAAAAGGTGAAAGTTTACCATAATACCCTTAATGAAAAATGGGTGGAATGTATTAAATGAGGTGGGTGAGGTGTAATAAATAAAGTAAGTGGGGATAGTTGTGGTATTTTACTTGTTAAAAAATGAAATGAGAAGATCTATCGTGGACAAAGAAAAAGGGCTATTGGGAAGATCTATGGGGGACAGAGTGAGTATATATTTTTAGTATATAATTTTTTTAAATTGCACACCAATTTTACTCATATTGATTTGAAAATAGGTCCCGTCAAACATCATAAATTGAGTTTTCCTATATTAAAAATCAAAATATGTGAAATCAGAGTTCATCCATTTAATTAAGGATTATGCTATGTGTACCCCAAGTTTTGTACCCCAATTTGTACCCCGCAGTTTTACACTAACATTTTGTGTTGGTGTAAAACTAATTTTTGTTAAACGCACCAACATTTGTGTTCGTGTGAATTTTTATTAACGCACCAACACTTGTGTCGGTGTAAACCATCAAAATGTTTGTGCAAACCTGTGGTGTACAAATGGGTATATTTTTTGGTGTAAGTGTAGCATGGTCTTTTAATTAAAATCTAATTCATCTTTGGTTCATCACAATAAAGGCGTGGAGCTCACTCTTTACCAAATTCTCTCTATATATACACCCCTCATTTCGTTACAAACCAAAAAGTCCTCTCCACTATTCCTTCTACATTTTCCATTTTATTTTATGCTTCCCAATTTATTGTCTCCCCAATACCCTTATACCCTAATCCACTTCAAATCCTTGATTAGTTCGCGTTTGGGTGTGACGGAAAAGTAACTAATTACTCCGGCGTGGCGGCGTCTATGTGAAATAACCATAAAATTCCGAGTAATTATGAGCTGCAATGGCTGCCGAGTCCTTCGAAAGGGATGCAGCGATAACTGTATTCTTAGAACCTGTTTGCAGTGGATCGTATGCGCCGAAGCTCAAGGCCACGCCACCCTATTCGTCGCCAAGTTTTTCGGCCGCGCCGGTCTCATGTCTTTCATCTCCGCCGTGCCGGAAAACCAGAGACCCTGTCAGTATTTTACCTTTTAATTGTTGATGAATATAACAATGAAAAGTAAATTTTAAATATTTTATCAAATAATTTTTGAAAATATGTTGACAATTAATTGCTCGGTATGTTTTTGCAGCTCTGTTTCAATCTTTGCTGTACGAAGCTGTGGGAAGGACGGTGAACCCGGTGAACGGAGCGGTGGGGTTATTATGGAGCGGGAACTGGCACGTGTGTCAAGCGGCGGTGGAAACCGTCCTCCACGGTGGCGCGTTGCAGCCGATCCCGGAGATAGTTGGCGATGCGGCGGAGGTTGGAGAGGCCTCGGGGTGCACCGACACATCGATGGCTCGAGATCTTAGTCGAAACGCCGCCGCACGTCCGGACAAAATCCAGAAACGACGTCGTTTCACGGATGGACGGCAATCGGGTGACCTCCGGCTGGCCGATCTTAATCTCGGCTTACACCTGCAGGGTCGTCACCAGACCTTCAATTCGAAGGGGTATAACAGTACTAGCCCGTTGCCGGAGAGACGGCGGCCGGAGACTCCGTCGATGAACTCCGAGGAGTCTGTGACGACCGCTTGTTTCGACGGCCATTCTGGCGGTGCAGGGGATCATTACGGAGGAGGAGAACCCAAACTTTTAAACTTGTTCATCAATTAATTCATGATATAATTGATGAATTAAGTATTTATGTCTGTTTTGTTTTGTTTTTTTTTTTTTTGTGTTCAGGGAGTTTTGGAAAAAAACATTTGGCGCAGGATTCCCTTTAATTCTTTTTCTGCTAAAATAAAATATAGCAGTGGAGAAAATGAAAGGGAAAATGAAAGTATGCCAATAATATGCCCTGAATTGATCGGTTGAATCACAACGGTTGAGAATGAATAAAAGTCAGTGCTTTTGCTATTCCTTCTATCCACCATAGATCTTTCCGGACACTATTTACAGGGTCAAACTTCACTCACTTTATTTGCTTATTTTTACTAGTCATTTTGTAAAATAATATAGTCTTGTCACCTCTAGTTTTGTAAAACTTTTCATGTAGTTTATTATTATATAAATTTTATTTTATAATTTTACTCCTATAATCAATTAAATTGAATTGAAAATAAACTCAGTCAAACCTCGTAACGCGCAACGGAAAGATCTTAGGTGGACGGAGGGAGTATTATCTTAGCATTTGTTGGTTGGGTAAAACAATAGGGAAGATGAAAGAAAAAAATAGTCCCTCCGTATTAAAACGTTATTCTCAATTATTATTCATAACGTCAATGTACACTGAGACTCTCTAAGTGGCATGTCCAACTCCTTTATCTTCCAAGGTCATTGACCAACCTGTCAAGCCACAATTCACAATAGTCATTTCACCCGACCTCTACTTCTGTGCCATAGAGCTTTCTGAAACCCAAATTACTACAACGAAAGGTGTTGGCTTTCAAAATTTTCAAAGAGTTGAATTTCGAGCTTTCGAGATGGCCCGAAGCACCTCCAAAATTTTTGAAATGCTTGTTATTGTGCCTGAAGAGAAACAAATTTGAAGCCTTTCTTCAAGTCTACAAGGGGTAAGCGGCACCCGATCAACATTAAGTATTCTCAAAACAGAATTTGCAAAGTGGAAAAATATAAAGATGAGCATCATCGACTCCATACTAGCATCACAAACCAAACAAGCATTCACAACCTTGACTCTTCTACGTATCAATGCTAATGTAATTGGGAGAATACCTTTCCAGGCTCTACAACCCCAAACTTTTGCCTTAGACGCCATAATATTTTCCAGTAAGAAAACACAATAGAAATTTGAGCCTCTCGAAGTGTAATTCTACCTTTTTCCAATTCAAGGGTGGTATTGGTTCCAAAATTTCCTCAAACCACAATGATAGAAACAAATTGGCCATCTATGCAATATAGTTTTAAGGATGGCAGCAAGGTATATTCAATTCAAATTTTAGTATATTGAAATTCGACCTACTTAGTTTGAGTTTGAATTTGATTTATGCCGTGAAGTTCTATTGACTTTTTCTATTTGGATTCAGATGTAGGCTTGGTGGGGATTCAAATTTTGGTAAGGTGAGGACAATAAGTGTTGGAAGTCTTAGAAGTTAGAACTATAAATAACGAGCTGAGAGGCTTAAGATTTTAATGAGAAATAGTGTTTGACTTTGTAATTAGTATCTGGAAAGATTTATAAGGCCGGAGGGAGTAAAATTCAATTTTAACCAAGTTCTTTGCATATTTTTACCACTTATTTTAGAAAAACATTCTTGTCACATTTTATTTTTTTTAGATATTTTATCTAATTTTTAAATGTGTAATTTTTTTCGCTCCATAACCATTTTCAACTAAATTGAGTTGAAAATAATTTAATATGATGAAAAATTGTACTCTTTTTTATAACTAAATAAACAAATTTTTAAAAAAAAAACTCAAAATTGATTTTGGAAAGGGATGGTGTACTAAAATTCGAAAAGAAGGGGGGTTACATGCTGAGGTAGATTCGTCTCAGCTTTACGTGGCAAGGTACAAGGGCCATGCTTTGCGATTGGCCCAGAGCAGCAACCACATGGTTATCCAATCCCGATCCAATCCAATTCCAATCCGCGGAATAACTGAGCAGTTCAGTGGCGTGTGATCGGCAGAATACGCTATACCCTCCAAAAAATTTTGTCACAGCTTAATTATTTTGATAAAACTAAAACAATATCTTTTGATCCCGAATTAAATATCATTTAAAATAATTAAATGTTATAAAAATTTATATCTAAAAATTATATTTTAAAATAAATTAAATCCACTAAATTTCCATTATAACTAAATATACTTTTTCTATAACTTACAATAAAAAAGTGTGAATTTACCAAAAATATTAAATTGTAATAATTTTGTAGGGACGTAGTATGTAAGTGGTTGGTTGGCTTCTTATCCCTATTTCGGCCCGCCTATCGCACTCTCATCCAGTTTGTATAAGTAGGTGTGGCTTTATATATATATATATATGGATTAAGCTATGTCTACCCCAACACTTATACCCCAATTTGTACCCCACAAGTTTGCACCAACATTTTGTGTTGGTGTAAAATTAATTTTTGTTAACGCATCAACACTTGTGTCCGTGTAAATTTTTGTTAACGCACCAACACTTGTGTTGGTGTAAACCGTCAAAATATTTATGCATAAGTGTAGTGTACAAATGGTGTGAATGTAGCATGGTCCTATATATATATATATATATATATATATATATATATATATATATATATATATATATATATATATATATATATATATATATATATATATATATATATATTTTGGGACAAAACTTTCAATGGGATACTGTTGCAAGTTTAATTTTGCCGATGGGGCCGTAGGTCTTATCACAAATAAAGACCCTTTGGTTGGTGGAAATAAGGGATACGGCACTTAGATTGGAGAAGAATGCATCCTTTGGTGAGCTTTGTTCGTGAGTGGGGAGTTCGGTTGCAATCCGTTAGCCTAATTTGATCTGATTTTTTGAAGATTTCATCTTGTTTGATCTGATCTAGCCTGATTTGATAATAATAAAAATAAGTAATAAACAAAAAAATAAGTTGAACAAAACGCTGCGTTAAAAGATGGAGGCTCAAAGTTTAGAGGCGAGTTTTTGAACTCGGTCCTTAGTATGTGCGTTTAGCCACGACAAAAATCTTGTTTTCTTGGCGAGTTAAGATACATCTTACGATTTACCTCTTTCACCCTTCTTAGGGGAAGGAGTGTAGGGACTCTAACCTTGTGTCTAGATGGAGAGAAAGTGAAGGGAAAGAAAATTAAGGAGGAAAAAGTTCAAATCCCAATGTGTTTTCTTTCGTTTGGATTGCACAAGAAATAGGGGGGGGGAGAAAAGATGCAATGCGTGAATGCCTAGACTTTTCTCTCCAATTGTGGCGAGGAAATTTGGTAGGAGAGAAAAAGTTTTGAAATTACCCATTTATCTTTTTTCATTCATTGGTTTGAAACTCTTTTCCTCCTATTATTTCTCGCTTCTCCGCTTTATTACTATTTTATTTGATAATTTTTAATTTCACTTTAGCAATTGAAATAAAAATTGATGCTAAATTATGGCTTTAAAAATAGGAGTTAATTTCAATGGAGTATGGAGTACTCGTATCGTCGTATATAATAAAGAGTAGTCTGTAGTTAATTTATTATATTAAAACAAATTAACGATAAAATTTCATTTTAATTATCACACTTTCTTTCCTCTCACTTTTATCTCCAACCAAACAAAGGAATGAAAATTTCTATTTTCCTTTCTTCTCACTTCCTTTTCATTTTCTTCCTATCCAAACAATACATTTTTTCTTTTCATTTTCTCCTTATTTTCTTTCATCCTCATTTTGCTCATTCCATTTTTCTTTTTTCTTTTTTGAAGAAAATGTACCCTTATTTTAAAGTACTCCCTATAAAAATGTGTTGAAAACAAGACATAAGGAATAGATAATAAAAAGACACAGTGGTCAAAAGAACATTTAAATAAATTTAAAATGCTAGATACTAGATGGTTAAAATACATACGGAGTATCTTTTAAAATTTATGGTCATTTAGAGGACAAAATGTTTTTGTTTTAGTTTTTCTTATAAAGATTTATTTATTTTGAATTGGAGGACCTAATTCCAAAAGACCAAAACAGTCCCTTAGCTAACCCACAGATTCTACAGTCTAACCAGCAAAAAACAGAAGCGAACGGAGAAACAGAACTTGTAACAAGAGGGTGAGAAGCGCGGCGGCAGTGGCGTCGCCGGGAAGAAGATGCTCGCACCATTTTTTCCGTTTCTATCTCGTCTGGACCATCATAGCCCTCCGTGCGCCATTGGCGGAGCAACCTAACATCCGCCCCGCACCGCCCTCTCCGACCCCAGTCAATCTGTTATCTTCAATCGGATTCCTTAACCTCTCCGATGCAGGGATCTCCGTGAGTGCCATGTCCAGAGCTCGAGTATACGCTGATGTCAACAGCGATCGCCATAGGGCGTATTGGGATTACGAAGCTTTCAATGTTCATTGGGGGTAAGTCTTCTCCCATTTATTAGCCCTTAAATCAACTCTTCCCTGAACTGGACATTGGAGTTTAGGGCACTATTATATAATTCAGAGAAATACATCCATAAATGTCCATAAGTCATAAATTTTGCACACTTGGAAAATGTACTCGATGTTAAAAGCCCTTCAATATTATTCTAAATGGCATTTCTGCTTTTTTGTACTCTAAGCCTTCATTTGGGCTAAGAGAGAAGGGAAAATGGGGAGAGTTCATAAAATATGATTTGTGGAGAACAATTTTGATGAAAATGTAACTTCTCCTGAGTCCTGAGCAAGGTTTAAAAGGCTAGTTTGGGTATCGAGGTTTAAAATATACTCCGTAGTTTGGTTCTTGTTTTGGAGAGGCAAGGCGTCTAAACGCAAGCCTCAAATATACTAGCAAATAAAAACAGGAGCAGTACTTTGACAATTTTTCATTGAACATCTCATCTCATCATGTAAAGCGTAATGTATCTAAATAGAAAGCATTTAAAATTAATATCAAGTTCACAATACAACAAAGGAGAACAGAGAAGAACAAGCACAAAACATTGGGAAAAAAGTGACCAAGTGGAGCTGAGTCTTGGAGCTGGGGAGCGGCAGCATAGAGAGAAAAATAGACTGATATGATGTTTCTTACATATTAGGGACTAACTTTCATTATATGAGCCTTATTACCTAAAGTCTCACAAATGATAACCCGCCTCACAATAAGACTTGAGATGCGTCTTCAGAGCGTAACCGTTTTTCTTTAAGGCTCAAGCCTCTTATTATGAAGTTTTGAGGACTGTATAGCTACTTCACTCAACACTTCTTCAATTTTATTCCCTTCCCTCCAAAGCTTTCACCCAAACAAATGCTAAATTTATGGGTGTCATGATATCAATATTGCTATAAACGTTAACATATCCCTCATTTATATATGATCCATTGTGTGTTAAGACTTAAGGTATGGATTTGATTATTTGAAGATCGAATGATATTCCTAATACTCCATCCGTCCAAAAAAAGGTTCCTTGATTAACCGGACATAATTTTTAAGAAAAGGGAAATTGTATGGTGTCTGTCAACCACAAAATTGTTTCCTCAAAAAGAAAATGGAATTATTTGGGGGACAATCAAAAAGAAATGTGGAACCCTTTTATGGGACGGAGGGAGTAATCTTTGTGTGTGTGCGTGCGCGCATTGTCTATCACATATGAGCTGCAAGTGCTTTTGTATATTATTATGAATGTGAGCACTTTTGTATTATTATTTCAGTGATCAGAGGGACTACAAAGTGATTCGTAAAGTCGGAAGAGGAAAATACAGTAAGGTTTTTGAGGGAATGAATGTCCATAGCAATGAAAAGTGCATAATAAAGATTCTAAAGCCTATTAAGAAGAAAAAGGTTGGGAAACTAATCCTTATCTCTTGCCATTGGGGGGTGATATTTGTGCTGGATAGCGGCTAATTGAAGAATGGAATTAATATTATGTTTTTGAATGCTCTCTTTTATATGAACATGATAATTTTGCCTTTTGAACATCTTTGCAAGCCCACCTACGCTTGCATGTGCAAGTAGAAAGAACATCAAGTGCTCTATCTGATGACAGTTTTAATGAGATGTTCACTTATATAAAAAGATGTACTCCGTATATCTGTTTTATTTAGTTTTATATTTCTCTTGAATTCTGAAATGCCCAGTGCAACGTGTGGCTTCACATCTATTTACTATGATAATCCCATATAGATAAAGAGAGAGGTCAAGATTTTGCAAAACCTTTTCGGCGGGCCAAATATTGTTAAACTTCTCAACACTGTCCGAGATCAGCCCTCAAAAACTCCAAGCTTGATATTTGAGTATGTGAACGGTACAGATCTGTTTGTGCTATCCCCCACATTAACATACAATGACATAAGTTACTACATGTATGAGCTTCTCAAGGTAAATGGAAAAAAATCATTTGGTTGACTATTATTAGGAATTGAGGATTAAATAATTGGTTGTGCAATGGATTTTAATTTGACACATGCAGTCTAGACGAGAAACGAAAATTTCCGAATCTTGATGAAACTGCAGGCATTAGACTATTGTCATTCCCAAGGAATAATGCATAGAGATGTGAAACCTCAAAATGTTGTGATAGACCATGTGTTTCGAAAGCTTTACCTCATAGACTGGGGGCTTGCTGAATTTTACCACCCAGGAAAGGAATACAATGTTCGTGTGGCTTCAAGGTAACAACTAAGTCGATTTCAAAGACACAAATAAAGGTAACAACCGAGTCGGTTTAAGCTATAATGCCAACTGTAGCCATCACTAAAGTGTGATTGTTGTTCAGGTATTTTAAGGGTCCTGAACTCTTGGTTAACTTACAAAGCTATGACTATTCTTTAGATTTGTGGAGCCTTGGCTGCATGTTTGCAGGAATGGTAATACAATTCATCTTCCAGCGTGTGTTTCATTTTCATAGCTCTTTGTTCCTCAATAAACATTCCGGCTGCCCTAGGCTTGGTATGAGGACAGAGGAGTAGTACTGTGATCATCAGCAAATGAGCTAAAAGTGCCAAACTACATGATTTTCATGGAAGTCTCTTTATTTAATAAATAAAATAGCTTTAGTTATATCATATCATCTTAAAATTTTTGTAGATCTTCCGCAAGGAACCGTTCTTTTACGGACAAAATAATGAAGACCAGCTCGTCAAAATCGCGGAGGTATCTCGATTGATATCTGTGATCATGGTTTTTGCTGTTGGTTGAGGGGTTTTGAAGGGATGGGTGATATTTATTTTATTAGTGTATTCTCACTTGGTATCTAAAAGACTAAAACTAACAAAGAGATAAATAAATATAACAAAAATAAATCATCCCCTTCAAATCCTTCCTACCAAATTTGCCCTAAGATTTAGCTCATATGATATCTGACGGTCTTAACACCTCCTTCTCAGGTTCTTGGGACAGAGGAATTGAATGCATATTTGCACAAATATCATCTAGAGCTTGATTCTCATCTTGTGGCTATGATTGGGAGGTATGAGTTTGTCCTTGTTAACATCAGTGAATGAGTGAAATGACTTAAATGCCAACAGCTGTTAAAAGATTATTATATAATTCTTCAACTGTAGAGTTGTAGTTCAACAACAACCCAATATAATTCCAACTTGTTTGGGGTCTTGGGGGTCAAGATTTACACTGTCTTGCCTCTCTAAAAAATACAAAGAGGGGACTGCTTCCATTAGACCCGTAACACATTGCTGCACTTACTACCCAAAACTTTGTTGAGAGTAAGAAGTAAAGGAAGTTTGATGTGTCATTTTGATTCAGTCTATTTTTTTACCAGATGCTAAAACATTGTCAATTACGACTCTTTTAGCTCCATTGGCACCGGACATATTTCTTCACTTGTAGTATTTTGCAAAAAAAAAAAAGAAGTTTATGGGGACTTTGTATGTAACTTGTTCAGTGAAAGCCGTAAACAGTGGTCTATATTTATGAATGCGGATAATCAAGATCTAGCATCACCCCAGGTAAACATTTTGACCCTGAAACTACAGCATTATCTTCACGTTATACTTGAAGATTATATTTCAAGAATGTTCAGAATCACTTGCAGGCCATTGATCTTCTTGACAAACTTCTTCGTTATGATCATCACGAGAGGCTTACTGCAAAAGAAGCCATGGTAATCCTACCCGCTTAACATATGAATTGCTAATCTCAATGCAACATCTTATACAGCAAGATCTGCTTTGTTGTTTGCTAATCAACACCAGTTTTGCAACTTTGTATTGTAGGCCCACCCTTACTTCTTGCAACATGGCTTTCCTTCAGTGGCCATGAACTGTTAAGTGCAGAGGCCATTAGCTACAAACAGAAGAGACACAAATGGATTCATGGGTGAAGAGCTCTATAGCTACTTTTTTTGGTCAACTTCAGACATTTGACTTTTGGTATAAAATGAAGCAAAGTGTAGTATAGGATTTTCAAAATTGTCCAATGAGTTGGTCTACTCAAAAGTCCTACAAACCATGTTTTTGTACTTCATGTAGCCACGGATGGATTCGGTTTTGTATGCACTTTTGATGTACAAAAAGTTTAATCTTTGTCATATGCTTCGTAGTCTAACTTTATGTTTGGCTCATAGAATTTGTAAAGAAAAAGAAGAAAACGATTTTCTCTCATTCTCTTTACCAAAATGAGAAGAATTTGATTTTCGCTCTTCTTAGTACATTTTGTTTTCTCATCTTTTTCTTTCTTTTCCTCTCTAAACACACAAAAAAAACTATTTTCCAATTCATTTTCCTTACAAATTTCTTAAACCAAACTGCTTGTAAGCAGTTTTATACAGACTTGGTATGGCAGTTAATTCGGTTTTCGATTTCCGATTTCATGAACAATCCCATGATTTTTAGTTTTCGATTTGCGGTTGATCGACATATCTTCTAATTGCATTGGATACAGTTAAGAATATCTACCTTATTATTCTACATCAATAATATGAATAATTCTATATATATCCACTAGCTTTTTCATGTCTCTCGTTTTAAATTTGTTGATTTGTTCTTTTATCATATGTCTTCAAACTGCTTCACTCACAAACACCTTCTTCCTCTATTCTTGTTTGAGTGATAGAATTTTACTTTGTTTAGAATGTCACATTCTGTTTTTTTTTCGCCATGATTTTTACATAGAACACCATTTCAGAAAAATAATTACAAGTATTTTAACTTTCAATTTTTATACAAATCATTTTATCTACAAATTTATCACTCATAAATACCCTCATTCTCTATTCTAGTAACATGGAGTTTGTTTGTCTTTTGTGGAGGGATGGGTAATTAGACTAATTAGGTATTTAATACGGTTGAGTGTGTGGCTGGAAAGTGGCTGGCAATTAGTTTACTTTTGTTGGGTTGTGGTTTAGACCATTTTAGAACAAACAAACAATAGCAATAATAATGTCAGTTCCACCAATAATTGGACCCTTTAAATCAAACAATGATAGGGTAACTCAACATTTGACACAAATGCCAAGACCAATATATACACAGGTTTTTTAATTTTTATCATTAGGACCATGTTACATTTACACCAAAAATTGTACTCCCTCCGTCCTAAAACTTTTTTCCCACTTCCCTTTTTTCTCCGTCCTAAAACTACCTTCCCATTAGAAAAAAAAGATGACAAATGACATTAATACCATCATGTATTTACACAAATTATCTTCTAACTCTATATTTTGAATGATTGCAAAAAAAATTTCAAAAAATCTTTTTTAAGGGGGGTAAAATTTGAAGTCAAAGCCAAAAATTAAAAATGGGGAAAAGTCAAACTGGGAAGAAAGAATTAGGACGGAGGGAGTATCTTGTAATTATACACAAATATTTTGATTATTTACACCGACACAAATGTTGATGCGTTAACAAAAATTTACACAGACATAAAGTCTTGGTGCAATAACAAAAATTAGTTTTACACTAATACAAAATGTTGGTGCAAACCTGCAGGGTACAAAGTGGGATACAAAAGGTTGGGGTACAAGTAGCTTTATCCTTATCATTAACCTCCTCGATCCTCTGTTCACTTTTGAACCAAATTAGTACGTGATGTGACTTTACCAAACGTGCGAGAATAATCTAACGTTTTTCGAAACCCAGCTTTCGGTGAATTTGGAGGACCGAAGTCGGTTTCGGAAACGCAATGGAACAAAGTACACCGAAAAAAGTAAATGTCAGAAGAGTCACAAACCAAGGACCGAGATGTCACGGTCCATTCAAAAATGGACACTTGTGAAAAAAGTTTTGTTGGCGTCCGCATGGGTCGACCTCTCGTAGCATCCGATCGTTGATAAATTTTATCTATTTTTTAATATATATTTTATATATGTTCTTTATTATATGTTTGTATTTTCTAAAAAGTTTCGATTAAACGAAGGATGCGATGTGAGATCGTATTGAGGAGAAGTTGTTTGCCGCAATGAACATGGGCTCCTCCTACCAAATCTGAGACCAACTCATTTCCAAATGAGGCCATATAAATAGAAAAGTCTGAAAGTTTATCGGAGTGTACGATGAATGTGCCCAGTCCATTAAGACCGGGACAAACTGATCATGACACGTTAACGAGATTCCAACATATAAATTACCATATTAGACAAAACAAGATCAAATCTAAATATAATATGATTAATTTTTTATTGCTGTATTTTTTAATTTATTGTCTTTTTTATTGATTATAATTTTTTTATTTAATGAATTACAATCGTTTAAATTTAATTTAATTAATGAAATCTTATTAATTTAATTTTACAAAATATTTATAAAAAAATTAGGAAAAGAGTGGTTTGAAGCTCCGCACTTTGAAACGGTAAAATAAGTTAAAAAAGATGCCTCCAGACATATTTCTAGTGATCTCATGTTGAGTGTATATTCGGTCCAGAGGCCATATGTTACCGCTTCACTTTATCTTCATACTCCACACTGTGACACTGAATGACCAATTGAACCCTCCCTCCCTTCCCCCATAAATTTGAGTTTTTGTCATCACTTTTTCTTTCGCACTCTGATCTCTTTCTCCATATCTCTCATCTTTGGGCAGTCCAAATAATGAAGATGAAAACCCAGATTTTGAACCACTGTCAAATCCTCAAGTTTCTAGTAGCTCTTCTTCCCCTGTTTCTGGATCTCTGTCATGTCTCGTCTGCGGCGGCCATGGAGAAAAGAACTTTTATCGTTCACATGGCCAAATCACAAATGCCCTTCGGTTTCAATGACCATTCTGACTGGTATAGTTCCTCCCTTAGATCTGTCTCTGGATCTGGGGAGCTTATCTATGCCTACAAGAATGCAATCCATGGATTCGCCGCCAGAATGACGCCGGAGGAGGCAGAGTCCCTGCAGAATCAGCCGGGTGTTCTGTCGGTGTTGCCAGAGACAAGGTACGAGCTTCACACCACCCGCACGCCGTTGTTTTTGGGTCTTGACAGGAACGCCGAGTTTTTCCCGGAATCAGATGTGGCAAATGATGTTGTCATCGGAGTGTTGGATACAGGGGTTTGGCCGGAGAGAAAGAGCTTCGACGACTCCGGCCTTGGCCCTGTTCCCAGTTGGTGGAAGGGAGAGTGCGAATCTGGTAAGAATTTCAACGCTTCCAGCTGCAACAGAAAGCTCATCGGCGCCAGGTATTTCTCCAAAGGTTACGAGGCAGCTCAGGGCCCAATTGACGAGTCCAAAGAGTCGAATTCGCCGCGAGATGACGACGGCCACGGCACCCACACCGCGTCCACGGCGGCCGGATCTCTCGTCCCCGACGCCAGCCTCTTAGGTTTCGCCTCCGGATCTGCTCGTGGAATGGCACCACGCGCTCGGGTGGCCGTTTACAAGGTCTGCTGGGTGGGTGGTTGTTTCAGCGCCGACATCTTGGCCGGCCTGGAAAAGGCGATCGAGGACAACGTCAATGTCCTTTCATTGTCCCTCGGCGGCGGAACGTCGGAGTATCACAGGGATAGCATCGCAATCGGTGCTTTTGCTGCCATGGAGAAGGGGATTCTCGTCTCGTGCTCTGCCGGTAACTCTGGTCCCAACAAATTCACCTCTTCTAATTTGGCGCCATGGATAACCACCGTCGGTGCCGGAACATTGGACCGGGATTTCCCGGCGCACGTCAGCCTTGGCAACGGCAAGAACTATTCCGGCGTTTCACTGTATAAAGGCAAATCTCTGCCTAACCAGAAGCTTCCTTTAATCTATGCCGGCAACGCCAGTGATTCCATTAACGGAAACCTCTGTTACATGGGGACTCTGGATCCTAAGAGGGTGAAGGGCAAAATTGTACTTTGTGACCGCGGCATAAATGCAAGGGTTGATAAGGGCTTAGAGGTGAAAGCGGCCGGCGGTGCCGGGATGGTGTTGGCAAACACCGCCGCCAATGGCGAAGAGCTGGTGGCCGACGCCCATTTGCTTCCGGCTACGGCGGTGGGGCAAATAGCTGGAGATGAGATTAGGAGGTACATCTTATCGGATTCCAATCCAACGGCCACCATTTCTTTCGAGGGGACAAAAGTGGGAATCAAACCGTCCCCTGTTGTAGCGGCGTTCAGTTCGCGCGGCCCGAACACGATCACGCCGGAAATTCTAAAACCGGACATAATCGCACCCGGAGTCAACATCCTAGCCGGCTGGACCGGCGCCGCGGGTCCGACCGGGTTATTCGTGGACAAACGACGGGTGGAGTTCAACATTATCTCCGGCACGTCGATGTCGTGTCCTCACGTCAGCGGTCTAGCGGCGCTTCTAAAAGGCGCGCATCCGGACTGGAGCCCCGCCGCAATTCGCTCGGCTCTCATGACCACCGCGTACACCGCCTACCCTAACGGCGGCGGGCTGATCGACGTGGCCACAGGAAACCCAGCCAATCCCTTCGTTTACGGTTCGGGTCACGTCGACCCGGTGGCGGCGCTCAACCCGGGGCTGGTTTACGACCTGAATGTGGTGGATTACCTGAATTTCCTGTGCGCGTTGGATTACACGCCGGCACAGATCTACACTCTCGCGAGAAGAAACTTCACCTGCGATTCCGGCAAGAAGATGAGCGTCACAGATCTGAATTACCCCTCGTTCGCCGTCTCGTTTCCGTCGCGTGCCGCCGCCGCCGCCGGCAACAGTTCAAGTTCATCAGTCAAGTACACCAGAACTCTGACCAATGTGGGTGAAGCCGGGACGTACAAAGTCTCGGTCAATGGGGAAGATGGAAATCCGGTTAAAATCAGGATTGAACCGGAGACTTTAAGTTTCAGAGAGACGAACGAGAAGAAATCGTACACGGTCACTTTCAGCGCCCCGGCGATGGCATCTCCGCCGGAGAGGGACTTCTTTGCAAGAATCGAGTGGTCGGACGGGAAGCATCCGGTGGGAAGTCCGGTGGCCATTTCTTGGTCGTAGTGGATGATGTATGGGGGCAATGTGGTGTCATTTTTATTTTAATTAATAAAATTAAAATTCCTCTGGTTCTGTAATTGTGCAATCTTAAATGATCATTTGTGAATTTAGTCAAAATCACAGAGTACCAAAATCTAAAGCTTCTTCTCAAAATAGACTGCATGGCTCATTCAAAAAGTGCAAATGTAAGCAGTCAAAAAGTGCTTGCCATCAACCAACAACTGTCTAAAAACAAATTTGCTGAGGAGGTATTAAACTCCTCAACTACTCCACCTTCTTCTTAGACTTTAATGTCCCATGGTGATGTTCTCTTAATTTTAATCCTATTCTTTATTACTCTCTCCATTCTAAAACTATCTTCCCAGTTATTATTCACACGGTCAAACTTAAATCACTTTCTTTACTTATTTTCGCTACTTATTTGATAAAATAATATAGTCTTGTCACATCTCGTTTTGTGGAACTTTTAATGTAGTTTTTAAATATGTAAATTTTATTTTTTAATTTTACACCTAGAACCAAATAAATTGAATTGAAAATAAAGTTGGTCAAACATCGTAAACACAAACGGGAAGATGGTTTTAGGATGGAGGGAGTACTTTTTTTTATTAGAATCGAATCGGATGATACAGATAAAAAGAACTTTAACATAACTACATACACATCATATCAGATCAGAATTTATTTTAATCAAATTAGAAAATACAAATCAGGTGAAGAAAACCAAACTCAATTACACCATCCGTTGATAATGACCCATCACCTGTATCATGAGCTAGGCTCAGGTTGTATCAACATGTTGGATGATTATTGTGTAGCCCTCTTTCTTTTGTGTACGTTTTTTAGCTTGGCTAAACTACACGTAGAGAAGAATCCAATTTGTTCTCTTCTCAGAAGAATAGATTAAAACTTGACCAGATCAATAGTAGATTTATATCCATAAGTGATTATTAAATAATTAAATATTACTCCCTCTGTCCTATATCTTTCTTCCTGTTGCGCAAAACAAAGAAAAATCTCAAGTTTTTTCAATCTATTTTAATTAAATATTGGTATAGAAATAAAAAATAAAACATACATATTTTAAAACTACATCAAAAGTTCAACAAAACAAATGGTGACAAGAATATTTTATTTTATCATATAGGCCATGAAAAAACACAAATAAATATAAATTCCCGTGAAGTTGGAATAGTGCTCTGGGAAGAAAGTTTTAGGACGGAGGGAGTATATTTTATACTAGAACAAAAAAATTCGTTACATTGTTATTGAATAATATATTTTTCTTTCAAATTTTGTAGTCAATGCTTATGAAATTTGGCTCCAAAATGTGAAACAGAAATACTCCGTATTTGGGAAGGAGAGAAGATGTAAAATGTACTTAATCAATTAGCAATGGTCTTGCTCGGCCTTTCACTGGCCCAATATATTTTTCGAACAATGATGGCCCGATTCTATTTAGAGCCATTCTGAAATAGAGCTTCTACACGATTTCAATATTATGCGAGTAGGAAAGCCCATTCGAAAACTCATTGGGTCTCCAGAGAAATCTCTTGCGTATGAGATCTTTCTTTTTTAATTTAAGAGAATTATCATTTTTAACCTTCAATTTGCTAAGAGAATTATCATTTTTAATGAGCATGTACAATATTTAGTTCGTATCAATATCGTACCAAAGACTTTGAACGATTTGGTATGAGTTTTTACGTCATTCCAATCCCAATTTTAAAAGTACAGTTTGACATGGTTTGAAATAGTTCGGTATATAAATAAACTCAAAAAATGAAAAGATGAAAATTCAAATGCAAGAAATATTTATGAAACTTAGTTTAGTATTTCACAAACAAGTGAATTAATGATAATAAAATGATATTTCAAATGTGAATTACTTTTTTTCTACAAAAAACGGAAACTCAAGTTAAAGTACAATATACACGTAATAAAATTTGAACCAAATTGTATATCAATTTTATATACTTTATGACAAAAAATTTTCTTTTAAAATTTTTGTCTAAAATAAATACTCGTATAGATAGTCAGTATTTGCCTCTTTTATATATATATATATATATATATATATATATATATATATATATATATATATATATATATATATATATATAGTGGTGAGCATGGTACGGTATTTAGCTCGTACCGATACCGTACCAAATATTTCGGTTCGGTATGGGATTTTACTCCGTACCGATCCCGATCCCGAAATATCGTTTCGGTATGGTTTGGGATGGTTCGGTTTCGGTTTCGGTATAAATCGGGATGAATATACATACCTACTTTACACGTTAAAATTTATCAATGCCCCTTTATTTTTGAAAATTAAAAGGTGAATTTAAATAAAAAATATGAAAAGTTAAAAAATGAATATTTAAATGCATGAGATGTGTATCAAAAATTAATTTATATTTCACAAACTAAAAAAATGAACATCAACAAGTGAGTATTTTAAATCTTTGTGAATATTTTTATGTTTATACACAAAAATTAGAACTCAAGTAAAAGTACGGAATATAATTTACACATAATAGAACTTGAACCAATTTTTTTAAAAAATTACTCCGTATTATTTAGTGAAAGAATATAAAAATATTACTCAGGGGTATTATTTTTTTATAATATTTTAGTATATATGTTCGGTTCGGGATTTTCGGTTTGGGACGTCACCCCGTACCGTTCCCAAATACCGTACCGACCATTCGGTTCGGTTCCTTCTCGATATTTTTTCGATTCGGTATTTTTCGGTTCGGGATTCTCGGTTTTTTCGGGAATTTTCGATATCAGTTCGGTACTTGCTCACCCATATATATATACACGTGCATTATGAGACTAGATGGAATTAAAGTAGCTAAATAAGATCAAACGTTAATAAAATGAAGGATTATGCTATGTGTACCCCAAAGTTTATACTCCAATTTGTACCCCGCAGTTTTGCACCAACACTTTGTGTTGGTGTAAAACTAATTTTTGTTAAATGCACCAACATTTGTGTCCGTGTGAATTTTTATTAACGCACCAACACTTGTGTCGGTGTAAACCATCGAAATGTTTGTGCAAACCTGTGGTGTACAAATGAGGTATATTTTTTGGTGTAAGTGTAGCATGGTTCTAAAATGAAATAAGATGAGGCCCAATCAAATCAAGATGCTTTATGAACCATTTAAGCATCTTTGTCCACAGTTAATTCCTTTGGACAGACAGGATTTCAGGCTGGGATTAAGCCGCGGCTTACACGTCATCTGCAGAGCTGCCCAGAGCGTGACGCGTGTCCATCACCGCCTCCCCATTCGCTCCCTGACCAATTCAACCCGGATTATATAGACACACGTTTGCGCTGATGAATTAATTAAAAAACTACTAATCTAAGAACAAAAGATATCATATTTTTTGAATTTTCGGAGAGAGGAAAAATTAAAACAGAGGATCGGAGATGGAGAACAGAGGCGGCGGCGGCGGCAGCAGAAATGAAGAGAAGGGAGGGAATTTAGAAGGGCTGCCGTTGGAGAGCAGTCCGTACACGCAGTTTCAGGACACGGAGGATTACAAGAAACAGGCCTACGGCGCTCAGGGTCACATCCAACCCAATCCCGGCCGCGGTGCCGCCAGCTCCACCGATGCCCCAACCAGCGTTCCCTCCGGCGGCGGCGCCGCCGCTCTCAACCAGGCTCAACTCTCCCGCGACGCCGATGCAAATGATCGCCAGCGGGCGCCATGATCGTTTTTTATGTATTATTATGCGCTATTCCCTGAATAAATTTTGTTCCTTGAATTTGATTTCTGTTTTAAAGTTTAAAAATAAATACTATACAAATTTCTAAAAACTAATCTCTCTGTTTATTAATTTCTTTCTCATTTTTTTGGAAATGCCAAAATATTTTCTTTCGTGTTTTCTATTTTGGAATGGAAACTTTGGAAAAAATTAACACCATCAAATGGAAACTTTGGAAAAAATTAACACCATCAAATGAAATTCAAAGTGAAGAAAGGCATACAATGAAGAAAAGAAGGATAGTATTAAATTAATAAGTCAATTACTCCTATTTATAGGAGTTTAAGTTTGAACTTCTACTTTGAAGATATATAATAAGTTTTACTCCTATTTTGGTCTTTCTCCCTTGTAATATATATGTTTTAAATGATTATTTGATAAAGTAAAATAAATTCGATCAAACTTTGTGATGCTGTAAATTATCTAACCGAATAAACTATACTAGACCGGGTCTAGGATTGTTTACTTGATTCGGAAAGTAAAAAAGTAAAAACACACAAATGACCGGGAGGACTGTAGGTAGAAACACTTGTAGCCCAATTGATACTATTAATATAGGAGAATGCACAAGAGCTTTTACAAAGGAGTAGAAAGAGTGAATTCGGATCTCTTCCTTCAAAGGTTACATGAGTATATATACTGAGTTTAGTTACATGAGTATATATACTGAGTTTGAAGGGGATAGAACGTCGTGCACCCATGTTGAGGCACGTTCTCTGATGGTGGGAGGTGATGACCCTTGTCCTCTAACTGCTTTGTCACCTTGCGAGGAGAATTGCTTTCTTTGTCATGTACATCTTGGATGGATTGTTTAAGTATATCCAGCGATTCTCGCTGATCTTGGTCGCTAGAATCCAATCTCCTTTGGATTCTTCTCTGCCGACACCTTCTAACCCTTGAAACTATACCGGGTAGCTTTCGAGAGATTGATTTATCGAAATTAGGGAATGAACCAGGCGATAAAGTAGTTCGACCGGTATACTATCCGAAGTGTACCGGTCAAAGTTATGGTCAACCGAGCATCCTCATATTGACGATTAAGATCTCCCTTCCAAGTAGAACCCACTTGACCGGTCAACTATTTAGTCATCTCTTTTGACCGGTTCTGAGTGGAATACACCAATCACTTTGTAAATTTGTTCTTGTTTTGACTAATATGAGAAATGATGAGTTATCTTTATAATTGATTTTTCAATTTTATTCTTGATGCGATGATAAAAGTAAGATGTGACTGATAAATTATTTGTGAAGATGTATGATGTGATAAGAATGATAATAATTAATAGAGGTAAAATAGTTTTTAATAGAAATTGAAAATGTTTTGGTAAAATAAAATGAAAGAAAACTAATGTTCTTTTTAACGAAAAATTGATTTTAAAAAAATAAAAATAAAAAGATTTGTGTATTTAAAAATTCTCTTTCTAAAGAAACTTATTTTTAAATTTATTTTCTTTTATAATTCATTTTTAAAAAAATACTCCGTAATACGGAGTAGTTGTCAAAGTTCAAATCATCCAAGTAAAAAAACAAAATTGAAACGATAGGAAAAATATAAAAATCCAAATTCTTTCCTTTCATAACACCCAATTATTTTAGGGCTGGGCCAGATGGATCTTTTTATCAACAAATCAAATGGAACACAAAATTTAACAGGCTTGATTATTGAAAGGTCTCCGAGCAAAAGGTTACAGATCTGAGGCGTGAATTCTCAAAATTTCAAAATGTGCCCTACTTGTCTCAAAAGTTTCAATTCCTAACCCCAAACATCTTCATTCTCGACGAGATATATTAGGGAGGTAAAATTAAGACCGGATAATCCGTTAAAAAGAAATGTTTGTCTCACAGACATGCAAAGAGCCCAATATGTCTTAGGGGTGAGCAAGTACCGAACCGATACCAAAATTTCTCGAAAAAATCGAAAATACCGAACCGAAAAATACCGAACCGAAAAAGTACCGAGAAGGAGCCGAACCGTACCGAACCGAATGGTTGGTACGGTATACGAGAACAGTACGAAGTGACGTCCCATACCGAAAATCCCGTACCGAACATATATACTAAAATATTATTTAAAAAATAATACCCCAGAGTAATATTTTTATATTCCTTCAGTAAATAATAATTTTTTTAAAAAAATTTGGTTCAAGTTCTATGATATGTAAATTATACTTTTATTTGAGTTTTAATTTTTGTGTATGAACATAAAAGTATTCACAAAGATTCAAAATACTCTTTTGTTGTCATTCATTTTTTTAGTTTGTGAAATATAAACTAATTAAGTTTTGATACGTATCTCTTGCATTTAAATATTCATTTTTTTAATTTTTCATATATTTTTTTATTTAAATTCACTTTTAATTTTCAAAAATAAAGGGGTATTGTTAACTTTTAACGTGTAAAGTAGGTATGTATATTTATCCCGATTTGTACCGAAACCGATACCGAAACATCCCGAACCATACCGAACCGATATTTTGGGATCGGGATCGGTATGGAGTAAAATCCCATACCGAACCGAAATATTCGGTACGGTATCGGTACGAGCTAAATACCGTACCATACCGTATCATGCTCACCCCTAATATGTCCTACTCATATGTTACTCCGTATAGGCACAAATTGGGGGGTTGTCTGTGTTAGTGTTAATACGGAGTAGTTTATTAGCAATGAGCCCTTTGTCCTAATTTAAGTTGTATTTTTATTATTTATAAATTTAAAATTAACAACTTTTATTATCTATTTTCGTTACTCATTTAATAAATAACATAGTCATGTCGCATCTTATTTTATAAAATTTTAGATGTAGTTTAATGTCATTATTTTGTTTTTAAATTCTGCACCAAGCACATGAAAGATGATTTTAGTCAAATATCGTAAAAAAACGAGTAATTCAAATTAGGACAAATGGAGTAAAATGCATTACACTCAATTCAGATACCAATTTTTAATGATATTCGCCAAAATTGAGATTCTTATGATGTTTCATTTTAAAACGGGAAAACACTTACGAGAACCTTCATATATACTAGATAAATATTTTCTAACTATCGAAATTAGCATTTTTAGATTTAAAAATAAAAAATGAAATCGTACAAAAAAATGTCTAGTAGTGACATTATTTGACTTAGGGGCTGTTTGTTTCAGCCTCTTAATGGTTCAGATGTCTGAAAGGTTCAGCACTTAATGGTTCAGACTGTTTGTTTCAGCCTCTTAATGGTTCAGATGTCTGAATGGTTAAGAGATTTGCCTCTGAATGATTAAGTATTATACAGAGTCTGAATGGTTAGGACCTCTTATCTGAAATGATCAGACATTTGCCTATGAATAGTTAAGCAATATACTAGCTCTTAATGGTTCAGACCTCTTACTGGTTCAGCACTTAATGGTTCAGACCTCTTACTGGTTCAGCACTTACCGATTCAGAAGTTGCTAAACAGCCCCTTAATATCATTCGATTGTACAGTACGAAATGCATTAATCGTGTCAATTCAAAGATGAAAAATAAATTTGAGACGAAATGAGTAAGAGTAATAATTTAGTACTTGGTAATTTAGTAAATTAGTGAAAAGCAAGAAATAAATGAATAATGTTACAATTTTTTTGGGAATTCAATTTTTTTTCTTCTTCTTAAAGGGGAAATGAACAAATTTAATAGCATATGGAATATTTAATCCAATGTGACAGAGATGCTCAATTGGCACGGCAAATCACAATATTTGAGATGGATCGAATATTAAAATCTGTGTCTTATTTTATTCCCAAACATACCGAACCACCATACGTCGGATTTGTACCTAACAATGTTAACACTCCGCATCAAAGAGACATGCATCACGTACTTATCTCCGTCCGATTTCCTGTTAATAATATATCAATTGGTCACCGTCATTTCGTTATCTCACTTTTCTTATAAAGTAAATTACTCCCTCCCTTCGTTTTTAAATTGTTTTATTGAAAATTTTGGCATAAAAATACTTCCTCCCTCTCTTTTGATTTTTCCTAATTTGACCTGCATGTTCGATTCTTTCAACTTTAATTACATACTCCCTCCGTCCCCCAGTTTTTGTCCACTTTCATTTTTACACACCGTCCAAAGCACTTCTTTAATCTATTTTATATTGTAATTTGTATATTAAAAAATTATAGAAATTATATATTAATAATCTATATGTTAAGACTAATCAAACAAGATTACATATGACCATATTTAGACTTACACATTGAGAGAATTTGATGAGTCAAAGTGCTTAGATGAACAGTTTCAAAAATCAAAAGTGGACAAAAACTGAGGGACGGAGGGAGTATTATAGGAAAAAAATTGAGTTGTAATATAAATTTATATAAATATAAGTTTATATTGAAATGTAGTTTTGAAATGTCATATTTTTATAATATATTCGCATATATGATATATATAAAAATATTAATGACCAAAATATTATATCAGAGACCGTGCAAGTCAAAATTGGAAGAACCAACAATGACAGAAGGAGTAAATAAAAAATGACCATGGTATGTATGAAAACCTTGATTGAACACTCGCAAATGGATTCTGACGAAAGATAATGACCATGAGCTTTTTTTGCGATGTGCCGCTAATCACATATCCGTTTTACCCCTCATATTCTATCATTAGTTGAGCTACTGGCCACCGGTAACCACCTTAAATAAGACACGTGGGGTCTAGAAGGTGCGGCCACGTCGTTATATGAAGTGAAAGTGGTTGTGGAGTGGTATGAGGTTAGTGGAAGAAGATTAATTAAGTTTAGCTAGCTTTTAGAGCCTATTGTTTCTTGAATTTGTTGGTATGTGTTGATTATGGCATGGGGAAAGTGGAAACGTCCCATTCACTATCATGCATTAATCACCCCTATATTAATTTCTAATTACTGAAAACTGCCTAATGACTTTGACAAAGAGAGCATAACCACACCCGTATATATATATATAGGGCAGGGCACATAGAGGAATGGAAAACCTTGTCAGACAGCAATGTTTTGACACTGACGTAACCCCGTCATTACCAATCGTTCAACTCCTCTCAA